TAGGATTTCGAGGGTATGTCTATTTACCAAAAATGATTGTAATTAATCTCCCTGGTTAAAAATAATTTTTTTAAAACGATTTGAAATTTTTTTTCGCCGAAAAATTTAGGCACTTGACAATTTTTCTTAAAAATTCGTTTTTCATTTTTAACAAATTTGTTCGACGTCCTACGGAAATTTTGTTTAGTACTTTTTTGTAGGTACCTATAAGCTCTACTCCAGAAAAAAGTTTCATTGAAATATATTCACTATTGTAGGAATTATGGCTGTTTGAAGATTGGACCATTTTTATGGGGTTTTTCTCATTTTGCGGGGTCATGGATCAACTTTTTGCATATTTCTACGTATTCTTGATTAAAATACGCGTCGTTTGCATTTTTGAAAATTAAAATCCTTCAATCCGTTCAGAAGTTATGACATTTTAAAGCTCCGCATGAAATTTTCGGACAACATTTCTGGCCATAAATTACATTTTCGATTAGGAATTTTTTTCTCGAAAGTGCGTAGGATTTCGAGGGTATATGTATTGACCAAAAATGATTGTTATTGGCCCCCGCAACCGAAAATAATTTTTTCCTGGAGGATTTGAAATTTTTTAATTTAATTTTTTAACAACTTTTTAACGAAGCCTCCATCAACAAATTGGTAGTCTTGTATTTTTCCCGATTTTCTCCTCTAGAAGTAGTGCAAGCCTACAGTGGTTCATTAAAATCAAAGTTAGAACGGCTACTACCATAATGGATGTGCGCGCAAGATGTAAATCATAAAAATCTGCAAAACTGTAGGAGGCGATTTTAAAAAATCGCATACCAGTGGATTTGGAATAAAATGCTCGTCATTTTTTGTCATTATGAAAATTTCAATAAAATGAAAAATTATGTTAATAAATTTTTTTTTGTCATAAACAAATTGTATTTTTTTTTAATTTTTTAACACCATGTTATTGTACATAAGAAACCATCAACCTCGCCCATTAACAATTATTTTCTATGTCTTTCCGTTTTCGAGATAGCCGTTTCGAGCCAAAACTTCAAGGGGTGGTTTCACCCCATAAACTCGAGTTACCGCAGCTAAAAAAATATACGTGTCGATTATTTTTTGGCTGGTTTATAAGCGTACGAAGTTTCATCAAAATCGAAGCCGGACCGTTCGCGATGGTTCCTTGTAAGTTGACGAAGGCAATAAAGAAAGCCGCTACGTCTCCGGTCACACTTCGCCTCACTGGTTCAAGGGGGATCCCCCTAGTGGCGGGGATAAAAATGTATCATTTATGGAACAGCTCTTGAGGACATTTATCGAGTTTTTCACTGTACCAGCTAACCGGACAGTAAATTCATCGTAAATAAATTCGTTTGCACGGCGCGCGGGAGGTGCCGTCGATTGTTGTATTCGGAAATATGTAATTCGTCGCAACAACGTCACGCGAAGGAGGATATTAAAACTGAGGTCGTACTATTGATTTTGGGGCAAACTTGAACAAGGAAAAGGGGCAGGCAGAGTGCAATAGCACGGTATGCCTACCCCCCCCCTCCCCCCACAAGTTTATTTTTATAATATAACCGGCTTGAACATAAACAGATCCCAGGCGATTAAAATTACACAAACAAAATGAAAATAAAAGGTGCAATTTTTTATTATCTTTATTATCGCATTTACGTATTTTACTCTATAGTACGTTGTTATCTAAAACAGTACATAAATGTACTTAAATTTTAATGAAAAGTTGAATTCTTAAAAAATTCACCGACATCAAAATGTTAATGATTCGAATAGAAAGAAAGGAAGAAAATAATTGTTTCACCTTTTGAAATGTTAATGATTTCATTACCGATGAGAATGAAAGCAATTTTTTTAAGTAACATAACCTAACACTAGCACCTAATATTTTAGGATTTGTTTATACATTTATCTTAATCATAGATTCTATATTTAGCAGTTCGCGAATACAAATATTAAACGACTTGTAAAATCACCTGTTTTAAGAGGATTTTATTCGCCACTAAGTATATAGTACTTGAAACGTGATTTAAAATAAAATATAAACCGTACGTTGAAATATTACTATACATATACATATTTAATTTATTGAAACCATAAAAATTAAGACTTTTATTCGTTTCGTTACACTGATTTATACTTCAATGTACCGCAATTATTATTTCCAAATAACAGCAAGATAAATCATAACGAGAAGATAATACTGAATAAACGATTATGTAACTGTAATAGAATAACGAATAAAATTGTTAATTATTCTTTGTAGAAAAATTTATTCAAACAATCCCTAACATTGCCTTATTAAGCTGATTTATCATGAATATTTAAAAGCGTCCAAAACAGAAAAATTTGTTACGGAAGCATTAGATGATAATACAAAATTAAAATACATGTAACGTAACTAAATAAATTCGTTTTTAGCTTGTCTTTTAAATAAAATTCGTTATTTTTTATCATTGTTAGTTACTACCTAGGACATACTATTAATTTTGAAATATTGTGTTGCTTGAAAGGCATATTTTTGAGCAAGTTGTTTCGCAAAATTCTATAATAGTATAAATATCATGCTAAAAGATCATACACTTTACGACACATTTTGTTTCGTAATAAAACAATATTTTTTGATACAATCAAACACGAAAACTTGAATATTTAGTATCCGAAATCAACATGTATAATATTTAAATACCCATTGTTCTGTTTGGAGTGATGTATATGTATGTGTATGATATGATTTTGAAAGTATGGATTGTCGAGGCCCAAGTTATTTTTACAATATTTCATTTCTTACCGAAACAATTAGCATCCTCGTCCAGGTTACGAAGTTTATGAAACGTTTCGTAGCATATATATATTTCTTTTTATTGATCAGTATCGAAACCCAGACCACTTTCATAATTACCAACATGTATAATATCCGGTTAGGAAGTTAGATTAGGTAGGCGTGTCGAAATGGTTATCTTAACACGTCGACTGCCAGTCTAAAACCGTAAAATTGTTTACAAGACCAGAACTTTGATTTCAGACAATTCTAAACTACATAACTTACAACTTGTCATAGTACTTGCTTTCGTAAACTCGCTACAGTTTATGAAGCCTATTCAAATTTGTTTTCTTTGACATTTCGACTTGAGAATTAATTGTTCTAGTTCCACTGTGTGTGACATGGCAGTCAAAGTATTAAAGGAGGAGTCTCATGCGAGATCTCATATTTTTGATTCCCTTTTTTGAAAGTATATATACTTAAGAATGTTCTGTTAAATTTTTAGCGATAAATGTCAAGTTTTTTGGATTGTAGAGCATTTTTTGTACAGCTCTCGCAGTAATTACCAGAGTTATTGCTTCAATTACCTTGTACGGCCCAGAAATTACTGTTTCGAAGGTTTCAAAAAGGGTTAAGAGACATCTGCTGTTTTTAAAAGTCGAAATTCTAGCGTTTGTGCCATCTGGGTCTATACGGAGCTGGGATTGATTAGTATAATCTTGTAAACTTTAAATGCGTCACTCTCAAAACGTTACTTTCTTAACGGGCATAGATAAAGTCGCAACAACTATACGTTCGATGGCTTTTCAATTGTTACATGTTGTTTCACATACTAATAGTTCTCGCACGTACCAAAATCAAATTCATCATCATAATCCTTGCCTAAAGCAACTCTTATAGCAATTACTTTCTTTACTCTATCACAAAAACATTATCTCTCAATCAAATTTGAATTACGAACCTTCATGTTGCTATCACAGGTTAGCATTGTTCATTCGTGAATATCGACTGTAGAAAGTGTCAAGTACACAAAGATATAGGCCAAACAAAAATAAAATGTATACAAGTATGGTTTTTTAACCAAGCGATATCGTATAATCCCAAACTCGTTCAATATTAATAATTTCTATGACATTTACGTGTGTTAGAGAATCGATGATGGCTATTATCGATACGAACATATTATTTTGTTTTTCTGTTGTTGTTCAGTCCAAATATGTCTCCCTGAGAGTACGCATCGCTTTTCTATGCACACGTGTTTGATTTACTTCTAAATATACGTTTATATCGAATGTGTCAGCTCATTACAAAACCCCAACAACGTGATTACTTTATTTATTGGTTCGATTCTACGTTGCGTTCAAAGGTTTAATTAACGTTCAATAAATGAGCACCTCCGACACACCCTGCTACCATTTCTACGGCTTTTGAACCATTTTATCGTTAAGGATCTCAACGATTTCTATTATTTGATGCGTTCAACGAAACGATCGTTTATTTGTTGTATATCTTTGCATCCGTCCATTAATAATGATGAATATAAAAAGTACCATAACCATTTTGCACAGTTCTCTGTACATATTATACACACTCGATAGAACAACAATTAAGATTCACCCTGGTACAAAATAACCTACGTAGCATTTAATTGTAGATTCACGATTTGTTTCTGTATTCGGGCATACAGAGACAACGAGAGAGTACAATAAAGGTAACCCTCCTACAACATGGTTTCGTTATAACAGAATTCATAAATTGCGAGAACCCTCGTACAACACGGTTTCGCTTCGACATAATAAGAAAATTGCGAAAACCTTTGTACATCACACGACATGATTTTTGCTGAACGTATTTTTAAAAACTAAATTACCTTAAAATAGTGACGCAAAGGAATAATGAACTCCAGTGGCTTAAATGAGAATATATAAAGAAATTATAAATTTATTAAATTAAGGTTATGTTAAATTAAAATATTTTCTGTTTTGTGTAATACATACATTAATATTTTTCGTAAAAATTAAGCTGCTTATATGGAATTAAAAAAAGTGTTTTTAGTAAGTTTTCGGAACGTATCTTTTTGTACTTTGGTGGTTTCATGTAACACGGCATTTTCTGGGAGCCTAACTACCGTGTTATAGGTGGGTTACCTGTGAATCGGTTGAACGCGAAAGTTCGGGACCGTGGATTAGTCGGAAAGTAGATTCGGTTAGAAAATGAAATGGAAAAGGAATGCATATACCTTTGGATTGCCGTTACTGAGCCACGGTATGATGTTGTCGATAAACATTCCGATGTCTTGGCACTCGATGCTCTTGTTCTCGTCGCCCAAGTAATTCAGCAGTAAACCGCCAACGTTCAACTTTTTCTTGATGTCCGTCGTTGACAGGAGCGGCATAAAACCGTCCATATCACGCGGATTCACCGCCATGGTGGTCCTGCCGATTTCACGTCGTCGTCACGCGCACCGTTTCGCAGTGTCTTTCAACGAAAACTAGATTTCACCCGCGGCACTGACCAACGCACATAGCTCGTCTGCAGGGTTTCACGACGCACGGGAACGTGACAAAACGCGTCTCATTTCATCGCGCCAGCGACAGATTTTCACAGAAAGTACACGATTATCGGCGATAGATACTCGTCCGTGGTATTTAAAAGCCATACGCAAAACAGTGTGCACTTCCTTTTTTTTTTTTTTCTTTCTCTCGTGGTCGTTTTCGCGACCGTTGGACCGAACGTTGGCGTTACGATCAACGAGCCACGTTCCGTTCGACAGTTTCTTACGCGAGATCTCGTTAAACGTTCCGAGCGACTGGACGTTAAACGTTGATCGCAATTTGGCACTATCGAGCACGAAAAATAATAACGTACGCACGAACCTAACGAGTATTATCGGCACCGTGTACGCGACACCATTTCGATTCGTCGATTCGTCCGTCTCTTTTTCTCATTCGCGATCGAAGCGCCGTTTAGTTCGTACGGGCGTCGCGCGAATCACGGAAGCCAGTGTGGCCGGGATCGGGGGCATAATTGAGCGCATCGAAATCGACGTTGGTAACGACGAATTTCCTTTAGCGTCGAACAGTATGGTGGGGATAGCAGGTATATACTAACGCACAACATCGGGAAATCGATGAAGAACGATAGCGTGAGCCTTTCCTTCTTGCTCTTGTAACGGATGAAATACAACCTTGCCATAATCGGCACACGGATTCAAAGTCACGGCTTCTTACTTTCGAACTTATTTAAGGTATAAGCGATCATGATGAAAGAAAAATTACGATAATTTTTTTTTAGCGGAAATACACGTTTTAAGACCCCGTAATCATATTGTGATTATTAAAAAAAGAGAAATTTTTTTTGAATGAATTTCAATGAAACGTTACATTTAGGTTTTATGTTGTCGTTTCAATGTCTGATTAGATTTTGAGCGTGATCGGCTCCCAAATAATGATGATTGTACGTCTTATAGTTTTATAATTATTTCGATACGTATACATTATTTTTAACAAATTTTTTAAACGATTTATATAAATCTTAAGGGATCGAATAAACTTGTCTTCTATCCTTTTTAGAAAAGAAAGACTAAAAAGTGATAAAAACCAAATAAAAATGGTCCAATTTTTAAACGACCATAACTCCTACAATAGTGAATATATTTCAATGAAACTTTTTTCTGAAGTAGAGCTCATAGGTACCTACAAAAAAGTATTAGACAACTTTCTTGTAAGGTATTAAACAATACTATTAAAAATGAAAAATGAATTTTCAAGAAAAGTCGACCAAATTTTTGACGAAAGATTTCTAATCGTTCTCGAAAAATTATTTTCGGTTGCAGGGGTCGTTTACAATCATTTTTGGTCATTACACATACCATCGAAATCCTACGCACTTTTGAGAAAAAAATTCTTAAAATTCATAAAAATGGTCCAATTTAATTTGAATTGTAAAAATTTCAAATCGTTTTAAAAAAATTATTTTTAGTCGCAGGGGTCAATTACAATAATTTTTGGTCAATAAACATACCATGGAAATCCAGCGCACTTTTGAGAAAAAAATTCTTAAAATTCATAAAAATGGTCCAATTTTCAAGTGGCCATAACTACTACAATAGTAAAGATATTTGAATGAAACTTTTTTCTAAAGTAGAGCTGATGGTTATCTACAAAAAAGTATTAAACAACTTTTCTGTAGAACGTTAAACAATATTATTAAAAATGAAAAATGAATTTTCAAGAAAAGTCAACCAAATTTTTGACGAAAGATTTCAAATCGTTCTCGAAAAATTATTTTCGGTTGCAGGGGTCGATTACAATCATTTTTGGTCATTACATATACCATCGAAATCCCACGCATTTTCGAGAAAAAAATTCCTTATCAAAAATCTAATCTGAGGCCCAGAAATGCTACCTTGAAATTTCATGAGTATTTTTAAAATGTCGTAACTTTTGAACGAATTGGAGGATTTTAATGTTTCAAAAGGCAAACAACGCGTATTTTAGTGGAGAATATTTAGGAATTCTAACAATATTGAAAAAGTTGTTTCTTGACCCTGTAAAGTGAAAAAAACCCCATAAAATTGGAATAAATTTTCAAATAGCCATAACTTTTACAATAGTAAACATATTTCAATGAAACTTTTTTCTGAAGTAGAGCTCATAGGTATCTACAAAAAAGTATTAAACAACTTTTCTGTACAGTGCCAACCAAATTTATTAAAAATGAAAAACGAATTTGTAAGAAAAATCGTGCCCAAATTTTTTGGCGAAAAAGAAAAATTTCAAATCGTTCTGGAAAAATTATTTTCAGGTGCGGGGGTCAATTACAATAATTTTTGGTGAATACACATAACCCCGAAAACCCACGCATTTTCGGGAAAAAAATTCGAATAGGTCGAAAAATTTTCCGACAAAATTAAAATATTTCAAATCGTTTTGGAAAAAATATTTTTAGTTGAGGGGGTCAATTACAATAATTTTTGGTGAATACACATAACCCTGAAATCCTACGCGTTTTCGAGAAAAAAATTCAAAAAGAGGCCTACATTTTTTGACGAAAAATAAATTTCTTTTTTTTTTGATAGTCACAATATTACCAGGGTGTCTTAAAAAAAAATTATCGAAATTTTTCTTTCAGTGCGGTACTTTGCTTACACGAGGTAGTATCTCAGTTGTTACAAGAGCAAGAAGGAAAGGCTGACACTAGCGTTCTTTATCGATTTCCCGAAGTTATGCGAATTACCGAGCTCACGTATACGTGCCTCGTGCGTTAGTATATGCTTGCTATCCCCACCACTCCGTTAGATGCTAAGTTCGTTGTCTCTATTGTCGATTTCGATGCACTGAATTATGCCCGATCTGGCCACACTGTTCGCGATCGCAGCGCCGATTAGTTCGAACGGACGCCGCGCGAATCACGATTAGACGCATCCGGCGAAACCGTTTCAAATAGTTACTAGAAATTTACTAGAAACTAAATACATTTTAAGTACAATTATTAATTAATTCGTGTACAAATTGTCTAGAATCTACGCAACACATGTTAATCTTTATTATCGACACCGATATTCTTCTTCCATGGTTTTTAAAAAACCGTTTCAAACATTTCAAATTGGAAACTCGGAACGAGGAAACATTTCACTTTTCAATAAAATATTTTTGCAACCGTATTTTAATGAAGATGACGATATATACATAGTTACAGTCACATATACAATAATAAATATTTACAATCATTGTTAATAATTTATGCGCTCGTATTATATGTAACGTCATTATCATTATAGTTTAGCCAAGATAATATTTAGGAGCATGGCCACTTTTGACTAACGTCGGAGATAACAACATGATTATGTCAAATTTTCGACGGCAATAGTTTCACAGTTCGGTATAGTTTTGTTTGTAATACCGGAGTCGCATAATTTCACGTGAAAATTCTCATCGAGTCGTCTCGATTTATATAAAATCACGCGATTGTATCACAATGGCATTTCTTCTGTTAAACAATCGTATACGGTTAAAATTAATTTCGAAAGAAACGTAAAAATTATAGTTTTAAAAAAATATTTTTTTTGTTAAAAGATATACATTTTTTGCAATTTGTACAATTTATGCATGTATGTGTATATATTTTAAAATCCTACAAAAAAAAAAAAAAAAATTAAAACACACTAACGCTATCACATTTTTCACTTTAAACAATTTGCTAACACGTTCGCGTACAAAAGAACCCAGCCGATTGTACAAAACTATTAGAAATTTTCATTTTTATTTACTTGCTCTGAAATTGTACTTTATTTACCTTTGGTATAGACTTTTGTATACATCATGAAAAAAGCCATTATATTTTTATCTGACTCGCGACTTTTCACATAAAAATTTTATCAACAGCTTATTCAAAATATTATCAAATATTGCTTACTGGAAAATAATACAATAAAAATAAATAATATCTCCATATATATGTACATATGTATTGTTCTTGGTAAATGGCATATCGCATGCATTTCTCATTTAAATTTCTTTCTTACCGCGATTAGACAATCCAATTCACTATCTAAAACTGCTGACGCACGCTTATATGGTATTATACAGGGTGTTCAAGAATATCAATTTCTTCACCGAGGCTTCGCTAAAAAGTTTCTAAAAAAATTAAATTACAAAATTTCCAATCATTCTGAAAAAATTATGTTTAGTTAGAGGGGACGATTACAAGCATTTTTGGTGAATACACATACCCCCGAAATCCTACGCACTTTTGAGAAAAAAATTCTTAAAATTCATAAAAATGGTCCAATTTCCAAGTGGCCATAACTACTACAATAGTAAACAAATTTCAATGAAACTTTTTTCTAAAGTAGAGCTGATGGTTATCTACAAAAAAGTATTGGACAACTTTTCTGTAGGACGTTAAACAATATTATTAAAAATGAAAAACGAATTTTTAAGAAATAATCGACCAAATTTTTCACGAAAGATTTCAAATCTCGAAAAATTATTTTCGGTTGCAGGGATCGATTACAATCATTTTTCGTCATTGCACATAGCCCCGAGATCCTACGCATTTTCGAGAAAAAAATTTCGAAAAGTACTGAAATTTTTAGACAAAATTAAAAAATTTCAAATCATACTAAAAAAATTATATTTAGTTAGAGGGATGAATTACAAGCATTTTTAGTCATTACACGTACCCCCGAAATCCTACGCACTTTTGAGAAAAAAATTCTTAAAATTCATAAAAATGGTCCAATTTCCAAGTGGCCATAACTACTACAATAGTAAACAAATTTCAATGAAACTTTTTTCTAAAGTAGAGCTGATGGTTATCTACAAAAAAGTATTGGACAACTTTTCTGTAGGACGTTAAACAATATTATTAAAAATGAAAAACGAATTTTTAAGAAATAATCGACCAAATTTTTCACGAAAGATTTCAAATCTCGAAAAATTATTTTCGGTTGCAGGGGTCGATTACAATCATTTTTCGTCATTACACATAGCCCCGAGATCCTACGCATTTTCGAGAAAAAAATTTCGAAAAGTACTGAAATTTTTAGACAAAATTAAAAAATTTCAAATCATACTAAAAAAATTATATTTAGTTAGAGGGATGAATTACAAGCATTTTTGGTCGTTACACGTACCCCCGAAATCCTACGCACTTTTGAGAAAAAAATTCTTAAAATTCATAAAAATGGTCCAATTTCCAAGTGGCCATAACTACTACAATAGTAAACAAATTTCAATGAAACTTTTTTCTAAAGTAGAGCTGATGGTTATCTACAAAAAAGTATTGGACAACTTTTCTGTAGGACGTTAAACAATATTATTAAAAATGAAAAACGAATTTTTAAGAAATAATCGACCAAATTTTTCACGAAAGATTTCAAATCTCGAAAAATTATTTTCGGTTGCAGGGGTCGATTATAATCATTTTTCGTCATTACACATAGCCCCGAGATCCTACGCATTTTCGAGAAAAAAATTTCGAAAAGTACTGAAATTTTTAGACAAAATTAAAAAATTTCAAATCATATTAAAAAAATTATATTTAGTTAGAGGGATGAATTACAAGCATTTTTAGTCATTACACGTACCCCCGAAATCCTACGCACTTTTGAGAAAAAAATTCTTAAAATTCATAAAAATGGTCCAATTTCCAAGTGGCCATAACTACTACAATAGTAAACAAATTTCAATGAAACTTTTTTCTAAAGTAGAGCTGATGGTTATCTACAAAAAAGTATTGGACAACTTTTCTGTAGGACGTTAAACAATATTATTAAAAATGAAAAACGAATTTTTAAGAAATAATCGACCAAATTTTTCACGAAAGATTTCAAATCTCGAAAAATTATTTTCGGTTGCAGGGGTCGATTACAATCATTTTTCGTCATTACACATAGCCCCGAGATCCTACGCATTTTCGAGAAAAAAATTTCGAAAAGTACTGAAATTTTTAGACAAAATTAAAAAATTTCAAATCATACTAAAAAAATTATATTTAGTTAGAGGGATGAATTACAAGCATTTTTGGTCGTTACACGTACCCCCGAAATCCTACGCACTTTTGAGAAAAAAAATTCTTAAAGTTCATAAAAATGGTCCAATTTCCAAGTGGCCATAACTACTACAATAGTAAACAAATTTCAATGAAACTTTTTTCTAAAGTAGAGCTGATGGTTATCTACAAAAAAGTATTGGACAACTTTTCTGTAGGACGTTAAACAATATTATTAAAAATGAAAAACGAATTTTTAAGAAATAATCGACCAAATTTTTCACGAAAGATTTCAAATCTCGAAAAATTATTTTCGGTTGCAGGGGTCGATTACAATCATTTTTCGTCATTACACATAGCCCCGAGATCCTACGCATTTTCGAGAAAAAAATTTGGAAAAGTACTGAAATTTTTAGACAAAATTAAAAAATTTCAAATCATACTAAAAAAATTATATTTAGTTAGAGGGATGAATTACAAGCATTTTTGGTGAATTGACCTACCCCCGAAATCCTGCGCATTTTCCAGAAAAAAATTCATTACGATTAAAACTTTAAACGTTAATAACTTTTTAACGAATCCTCAATTAACAAATTGCTATTCTTGATTTTCGTCCTATTTTGGCCTCTAGAGTCCCCTATTAAAATTTTTCCCAGGGTTGGCCTGAACACTCTGTATATAGTAATAAAAATGATTCAAACTTAAGAATATGTTATGACTTTTAGTGTTTCACTCGTTAAATTAAATATTTTCCAACCATTAATATTATAACCGATTGGATTGTCTAAATTCACGCGTAATAATTACTTGATTATATTAATTATATTTTAAATACATATTTCGACAACTACAAAGTACTTAATTGATAAATATTATCTATATATCTCGTCAGAGTTGAGGAAAAGTTAAAAATGTTCTGTTGAGCTCGACAGATGAACACTATTACGATCAGTAAGTATATTAAAGCTTGGTACGTGAAACATTATGTTTATCAAAGCTGCCAAATTTTTTTTTTCATTTAGAATCATTTTGTTCTTATTTAAACAAGTTCTACTTAGCGATTCGAAGAGCGTGCAACTTTACCAAGATTATAATTGTTATTGGCTGGCGTTGTACTTCTTTCGCAGCAATATAAAAAACGAATTGCTTGTATAGTCGTGCTCTTAACGTAGACAGGCAAAACAGTTTCTAAATAGTAAAGTTTTAGTACTCCGTGGAAAAATGTCGATTTTTTTCTTCTTCTTATTTTTCCTACGTAATAGGTACGAGCAAGATGAACAAACGATAGGACCATATAATATTCACTACGTATTGCTTCTCTTACCGAGTAAGTTCCCCGATGTATACTAGACACTATGTGCTAAACGAATTTAATGGAATGATATTCTGTTCCAAGTAACGACTAAAATATTTCTATGAACGTATGCACCAAAGGTTCTCATTAGGCTTCAGGACGCAACATTCTGCCATCCAGCTCCGTAAATGATAATTAAATATTTGTATATTATATTAAAAATTTCTACCGAGTATGTACAAATCATTTCTAGCGAATTAATTCGAATTACAATCAGATTTTTAAAAACTGCGCAGAAAGATCCTTCGAATCTTACTTCTCTATGGGAATAATGAAAGCGCTGTAACTAAATTGCAACGATGAATTAAATTAAAGATTAAGCTACGGTCTTAACTAGTTCGTTCCTTTATCGTAGTTTTTGAACACTTTCTATTGTTGTCGTTTCAATTAAATTGAGTCAATGTCGTTATGGAAAGGAATGCTATTGTTGTTGTTGCAGTTGTTGCAATAACGGGCACACTTCGACTAAAGGAGTTCCTAGGATTTCTTGGCATACTTGATTCATATCGGGTTCCATCATAAGCGAAGAGATTTGATCCTCCGTTAACATTTCCACGCTAAGTTTTGCATAATCGAACACGTACAATGAATAAAGTAATTGGTGTGATCGAATATCTGAGAAAAGTAACATACCTTGCCAAACTTTCACTGTCGGATGTCTCTTCGTCTGCATTCAGATAGGTTAATGTCTTTTCTAACGGGCTAGGAACCTTCTTTCCTTTTCCCTCTAGTTTCTCGGATTTTTCAGACTTCTCCTTATCTCTCTCAGCCGTTTTTTGTTCGCTAGAACGCCCCTCCGTCAGGCTAGATATGTTCAGCATCATCATACCATGGTTCAGTAATTCTTTCACTCGTTCTCCGGTTCCTGCACTCCACAACATATCAAGTGACTGTCTTCTGCTCGAGTTTGCTACAATATTTAACAAAATATTACATTTCCATACGAAACGATACAAAATTGCTAGTTAAAACTGCTTACCTGAACTACCTCCACTGATCTCACCGCCCGCTGAACTTCGAGTTATCCAATTAGCTAAACTGCTATCAATTTTGTTCTTATTTTTTATCGATGGACTCCTCGTAACTTCTGCCTTCTTCTCAGCGCTCAAAGTAACTTCGTTTCCCTTTGAGATGGCAGGCAGCGACTTTTGAGTTATCAATTTTCTTCGACTAGAACCTTCGCCAAATGGTTGAACATTCGCGCCATTGGCTACTGGATTGCTACTATCCGGACTCAGATCCATCGGTAACGGTTTGTAAGGAATTTGATCCTCCTCGTCCGAATAGACTTCGTTATTGTAGTAAACTTCATCCGGAGAATTATTTAAGCTAATCTCCGTCCATTCCTCGCCATTTTGTACGGTAGTGTTACTACTGTTTGTTACCACCGGTGTTTGAATCGTTACTCGTTTTTCTATAGGCGAAATAACGTTTGACAAATCGGACAATTGCGATGTCGATGAACTCGTTTGATTTAATAATATGATATGTTTTGTGTCGGTTGTTGCAATGCTTTTTGGACGGTCCCGCTTTATGTATTTTCGAGGTTCCGTGGATGAAAGGTTCAAATTATTTAGGCCCAAATATTCGGAAGGCTCTCTGTCAATCTGAATGGTAACACAACAGTAATTGTTAAGGTTAACTTACAGTTACCTTTATTAAACTATACAGGGTGTTGGGAAAAATTTTAATTGGAGATTTTAGAGGGTAAAATAAGACGAAAATCAAGAATATCAATTTCATGACTGAGGTTGACTTAAAAAGTTATTAAAAAATTTCAAATCATTCTGGAAAAATTATTTTCGGTTGCGGGGGTCAATTATAATTATTTTTGGTGAATAGACCTATCCTGAAATCATAGCCATTTTCGAGAAAAAAATTCCTTACCGAAAATACGATTTCTAGCCAGAAATGGTCTTCCAGACCTAACCCAGACCTGAAACAGACCTAACCCAGACCTGACCCAGATCTAACTCAGACCTAACCCAACCTAACAAATCTGGGTTAGGTCTGGGTTATGTCTGGGTTAGGACTGAGTTAGGTCTGGATTAGGTCTGGGTTAAGTCTGGGTTAGGTCTGGGTTAGGTCTGAGTTAGATCTGGGTTAGGTCTGGATTAAGTCTGGGTTAGGTCTGGGTTAGGTCTGGGTTAGGTCTGGATTAAGTCTGGGTTAGGTCTGGATTAGGTCTGGGTTAGGTCTGGGTTAGGTCTGGGTTATGTCTGGGTTAGGTCTGGATTAAGTCTGGGTTAGGTCTGGGTTAGGTCTGGGTTAGGTCTGAGTTAGATCTGGGTTAGGTCTGGGTTAGGTCTGAGTTAGATCTGGGTTAGGTCTGGGTTAGGTCTGGATTAAGTCTGGATTAAGTCTGGGTTAGGTCTGGGTTAGGTCTGGATTAGGTCTGAGTTAGATCTGGGTTAGGTCTGGGTTAGGTCTGAGTTAGATCTGGGTTAGGTCTGGGTTAGGTCTGGATTAAGTCTGGGTTAGGTCTGGGTTAGGTCTGGATTAAGACTGGATTAAGTCTGACCCAAACCTAACCCAGACCTGACCCAGACCTGACCCAGACCTGACCCAGACCTGACCCAGACCTGACCCAGACCTGACCCAGACCTGACCCAGACCTGACCCAGACCTGACCCAGACCTGACCCAGACCTGACCCAGACCTGACCCAGACCTGACCCAGACCTGACCCAGACCTGACCCAGACCTGACCCAGACCTGACCCAGACCTGACCCAGACCTGACCCAGACCTGACCCAGACCTGACCCAGACCTGACCCAGACCTGACCCAGACCTGACCCAGACCTGACCCAGACCTGACCCAGACCTGACCCAGACCTGACCCAGACCTGACCCAGACCTGACCCAGACCTGACCCAGACCTGACCCAGACCTGACCCAGACCTGACCCAGACCTGACCCAGACCTGACCCAGACCTGACCCAGACCTGACCCAGACCTGACCCAGACCTGACCCAGACCTGACCCAGACCTGACCCAGACCTGACCCAGACCTGACCCAGACCTGACCCAGACCTGACCCAGACCTGACCCAGACCTGACCCAGACCTGACCCAGACCTGACCCAGACCTGACCCAGACCTGACCCAGACCTGACCCAGACCTGACCCAGACCTGACCCAGACCTGACCCAGACCTGACCCAGACCTGACCCAGACCTGACCCAGACCTGACCCAGACCTGACCCAGACCTGACCCAGACCTGACCCAGACCTGACCCAGACCTGACCCAGACCTGACCCAGACCTGACCCAGACCTGACCCAGACCTGACCCAGACCTGACCCAGACCTGACCCAGACCTGACCCAGACCTGACCCAGACCTGACCCAGACCTAACCCAGACCTGACCCAGACCTAACCAAGACCAAGATGCCTAAATTTTTCGACGAAAAAAAAATTTCAAATCGTTTTGAAAAAATTGTTTTCCGTTATGGGGTTCGATTGCAATCATTTATGGTCAATAGACATACCCTCGAAATCCTAACCATTTTCGAGAAAAAAATTCCTTACTGAAAATATATTCTATGGCCAGGAATGTCACTTGAAAATTTCATGCGAATGTTTAAAATTTCATAACTTCTGAACGGATTGGACGATTTTAATGTTTCAAAATGCAAATAACGCGTATTTTAGCGAAGAATATGTACAAATTCTAACAATATTGAAAAAGTTGTTCCTTAACACCGTAAAGTGAGAAAAACCTCAAAAAAATTGGCTCGATCTTCAAACATCCATAATTTCTAGAATAGCGAACGTATCTCAATGAAATTTAGTATGGAAATAGAGCTCGTGGATACTTACAAAATAGTACTAAACGCAATTTCCGTAGGACGTCATACAAATTTGTTAAAAATAAAACTTTTCGGCAAAAGTAAAAAATTTCAAATCGTTCTGGAAAAATTATATATAGTTACAAGGGTCAATTACAATAATTTTTGGTGAATAGACCTACCCCCGAAATCCCACCCACTTTCTAGAAAAAAATTCAGTACGGGCAGAACTTTAAACGTTAATAACTTTTTAACGAAGCCTCCATCAACAAATTAGTATTCTTGATTTTCGTCTTATTTTGGCCTCCAGAATCTCCCGTTGAAATTTCTCCCAGGGTTGGTCGAACACCCCACCCTGTATAAGTAATATAAAATAATTACTCTTGTAGGCACAGGACACGGTGTACTAGGGCTCATTTTATCAGGAAGGCGTAAATATTCATCACTGGTATAATCTGTACTATCGGGTGATCCAGTCACGCTGGAATCTGTTGAATTTGTTGCATTAGGTTGCGCAACGGACTGGTTAATCATGTCCCTCGATTGCTTGTCAAATTCATCCGACCCATCGTATCTTCTAGTCTGCGAATTGAGAATATAAAAATAATTGCAGATTATTTCATATTTAACGTTTAAATAGTTTCAAAAGGGATTGAAAAATAATTATACCCTATGAATTTCATCACTAATTTTTTCTAAGTTTCTCAATGCCTCTGCGTAGGTCATTTTAGCATCACCGACTGATCTTTCTAACGCACTTACTCTTAATTTTTGTTCTTCCAACATTTGATTAAAATGCGCTTTCATTTCGTAGTACGGCCTGTATAATAAATTATTTGATAATTAATTTCTTCATAGAGTTTTAAATACGTACCACGTTTTTTTCTCTTCGACAGAAGCTTACTACTTTCAAAAATGTTGTATTATATCGTATACTATAAGAAGCGTTCTTTGATAAAGCAAATTTATATGTTCATGTATTCGACAATGAAATATTTTTTAAAAATATAACTCGTGTGCAAAGAGGGGTGATGGTTCGAGGTGGAATAGAACAGAACACACACAAAATGACTATCGGGGGTGAGAAAAATAAAAAAATAATATCTATCCTACTTACAACATGAGCAAGTTGTGCCTGTAGGCGATACTGTTTATCAGAAGCAAGCTGCGACGTGCACCCATACTGCCAACATGAATATAACCAAAAGACATAAATATTCTAATATCTATACAAACTTAACATAAACATGGTAAACATTCAAAAAATAAATTATCAAATACTCATGTGGGGGGGGGGCGAAAGTAAATGTCAAAAATCATGGGATAAAAACTGAACGTGGTATCGTCGAAATACCTGTATCTAAAACTGTCGTATGTATTGATTAAATGCGTTACATTCCATGCGTTGTCATAGAAACTAGAAAATCATTCGATGTCGCTAGCTAGAAACAAAGCTAGTAACGAAACGTGTATCAGGTGCGTACCTAGATTTAGCAATCGTACGTTTTAGTTCGTTCTGCAATCTCTGAACTTCGTGCTCTGCTTTATGATACAACGTAGTGGTATGCCTGTGCTCCGCCTCTGACAATGCTCTTTCGTGTTCAGATTCATTGACTCTGGAAGTTGCGTGGTTCAACATTTCCTACAAAAGTCATCAAACTACATTCCTTCGAAACGAACAATCTTTAAATCGCTCAAGATCAAATTAATTTCTTCTAACTAAATTAACATTGTTTCAAATACCTGCCAAGCATGGTCGAAACATCTGCCTTCGGTTCTCAAACCTTCCTCGGCCAAGTAAACCATTTCTTTAGCAGCCGCGTGCTGGCTATTGGCTCTTTCGAATCTAATAGCAGCTTTTTGCGTTTCTTGTAAAGCCTCGGAGAAACAGTTTACGCGTTAAATTGTTATTTATACGTTGTCGAGTAATTTAATTAACCTGTCTTACTTCTTTCGCTTTGAACCTGGCATCGTAATACGGTCTAGACTTTTCAATGCAAGTGCCAAGTTTCTTGGCTAACGTGTCAATTTTCAACGTAGATTCGCAAAGTAATTCCCTGAAAGTTGCTCTCGCTTCCTAAACGGAGAACGTATAATTTACAAATTCGTAGAATCTTGAAAAACAAAGTTTAAAATGCAGTTTGCGGTTTCGTACATCTAAATTTCTAACGATAAATTCGATGGATTTCAATTCGATAACATTTCGAGTCGCGAAATGGTTTTTTTTAGACAACGTTGTAAATAACTGTAAAATAATCTTTAAAAACATTATCCGTTTCAAAACTTATTGCTAATTTAGGTCCTTCGAGAGGAAATATTAGTTGTTTAATCGTACTTACATCCAAATCAACTTCAAGCTTGTTGATATCGTCGGTAGCAGTATTCAATATTTCGAGTTCGACCTGAAATAATAATTGACCGTGAAAAAATTAAATTCTATTCGCTGTGGATTCCAAAAAATATTACTGTATAAAAGAATTGCTTTACGTTCATTAACATCTGGATTAACAAGATGAATTGGTATAGTGCTGCAATAGAAAATTAACGTTCAAAGAAAAATGGAAAATATTTGGTAAAACGGTAAATAAAACCGACAATCGTAAAAGCATTAAACATTACCAGGAATTGGGAAAGATTTGAAAATCAGGATAATCATATGTTAACAACGAATAAAGTATAATTAAGCATTTTACGAGACGCAACGTGTAAATGTCAATATCACAAGTGGCTGGCTTCTGAAATAAATTATTCCCCGAATCACGTACTGGTTTACCTGCACTCTAGGATCCACTGCATCGTCAATACGATCAGAATCATCGTTACCATCTTTTTGCACACGTCCACTCATAATTAAAGCTAAAAAACGAATTTTATTTACAATATTTCATACCACCTATATCGTCTGCTACATTATCAGGTGGCCATGTTGAATGTCAGAGCGACCGACAGCGCCGTAAACGTCAAAACGGTCAAGGGCACTTGTAAACTAGGCGTTCTTCCGATCACAGTTCTCTTTATGCTACTGTAGGGAGTATAACGTAACTCCCTAGTTACTCCCGCAGATGGCGCAGTTGAGATAGAGGTTGTGGCGGCTAACGTCACAGTAGTAACAAGCGCCATCTAGTCAAGTCCCTAGTCTAGTTAGCTTTAGTTAGTTTAAGTAAAAGTCACTAGTTTGTAGTATTTAGATTTAAGTTGGCGCGCCCCCCTTGGTACATGGCCCAAGGGATGAAAAGGGCCCAGTTCTGTTCGACGCCCTCGGGAAGACAGAAGCACATAAAAACCGAAGCGTGTATTCGAAATAAAAGTCTTTGTGAACGCAATCGTATTAAGTGTATATATTGAAGACTCTCCCAGCAGATACCTATCCACCGCAGAGGTTGTAGCGACCAGCGGCCAGTGTTGCCGGCGATCGACGCGCCATCTTAAGTCAACTAGGTCAAGTTAGGTTAGTTAGTTTCTAGTCACATGTTAGGGATTTTAGAATAAGTAGTTGGTAAGCTTAGATAATAAGACTCGCGCCTCGTAAGAAACAAAAGGAAGAGTTAGTTCGAGCTTTCCTCTCGGTATCGTCAGTTAGAAAAAAAGACGTGTAGCACGGAAGAATAAAGAGTTTTATTTAGTGCAGCAGTTCAATACAAACCACTAGAGGGGCTGGGGTGCACTAGGGGATTTGTCTCTAGGGAGACAAATCTGGCGGTGTGGCCAGATCTGGCATAATTGAGTGTGTAGGCGCTGGCCTACGTATGTGGGCACAGGGTTGTACACAATAATTACACGTGGCATAGCGGACGAGTGCTTTATTGGACTGTCTCTCAGGCTTGCTCGGGGAAGACCTCTCGATTGTCTCGTGTCTCTAGAGGCCCAGGGAGTGTGGGAGGAATTTGGTAGTCAAATTAAATGAGCCTCTTTCTGTTTAACAAATTAACGTATATATATTTTTCACAATGTTCTCTCCACGTGTGCATCACACTCTCTCCATACATGGGACTTCCGCGCGTCCCCCTCTCGCGCCCCAGCGTTGCCAACATCCACACTCACTCGCCAGGCATACCACATAATAAAAATAACCCCACAGGGAGTACCTAGGGACAAATTCCCTATAGCATCCCGGCCTCTCTCAACGGTTGGCATCGGCGGCCATCGCGCCATCTGCGGGAGTAACTAGGGAGTTACTTCATGCTCCCTACAAGTGCATCGAAATCTCCGGTGACGCCGGATGTAAATAACATTCTTTGATTTGTTTACTGGCGATCACGCTCGGCTAATATCTCACGTCCAGCTAATTTCAAAGGTATATAAAATCTATATTTCTTAACCCTACATGTGCTCAAACTCTGTTACATTAATTAACTAACTTTTATGAATTTTTACAAGACCTAAATGAGTATAATAAATAACAATGAATAAACATAACGATTAATACGTGAATAGGATTAAATATTATACTTAGTGATTGAATATAATAATTATTAGTGAATGAACATAATGGTTATAATATTTTATGATGCGAGCGATTTCTGTAATCTAGTTACTTAGTATCTAGTAAGTAACTATTCGTAATATAGTGACGAGGGGTCAGAGTGGGGGGGACGTACGCTACGCGGATGATGCAATTCTCTTGCGAGAAAGCGCTCGAGAAGCTTCGCCACCTGGCGGTAACATCGCAGTACTGCTACGGGCGAGGTAAAATTGATTTTCTTTAACATTTCAACTTGAGAATTCATAGTTTTAGTTCCACTGTTAAAAGTTCACCCATATATATATATATATAAAAGAATAAAATAACCCAGACCTAACCCAGACCTAACCCAGACTTAATTCAGACTTAATTCAGACCTAACCCAGACCTAACTCAGACTTAATTCAGACTTATTCCAGACCTAACCCAGACCTAACCCAAACCTAGGTCTGGGTTAGGTCTGGGTTAGGTCTGAATTAAGTCTGGGTTAGGTCTGGGTTAGGTCTGAATTAAGTCTGGGTTAGATCTGGGTTGGGTCTGGGTTAGATCTGGGTTAGGTCTGGGTTAGGTCTGGAATAAGTCTGAATTAAGTCTGGGTTAGGTCTGGGTTAGGTCTGGGTTAGGTCTGAATTAAGTCTGGGTTAGATCTGGGTTAGGTCTGGGATAGGTCTGGGTTAGGTCTGGGTTAGGTCTGGGTTAGGTCTGAATTAAGTCTGGGTTAAATCTGGGTTAGGTCTGGGTTAGGTCTGGAATAAGTCTGAATTAAGTCTGGGTTAGGTCTGGGTTAGGTTTGGGTTAGGTCTGGGTTAGGTCTGGGTTAGGTACGCCCAAATCGAAATTCAGACTTAATTCAGACCTAACCCAGACCTAACCCAGACTTAATTCAGACTTATTCCAGACCTAACCCAGACCTAACCCAGACTTAATTCAGACCTAACCCAGACCTAACCTAGACTTAATTTAGACCTAACCCAGACCTAACCCAGACTTAATTTAGACCTAACCCAGACCTAACCCAGACCTGACCCAAACGTAACCCAGACCTAACCCAGACCTAACCCAGACTTATTCCAGACCTAACCCAGACCTAACCCAGACCTAACCCAGACTTAATTCAGACCTAACCCAGACCTAACCTAGACTTAATTTAGACCTAACCCAGACCTAACCCAGACCTGACCCAAACCTGACCCAAACCTAACCCAGACCTAACCCAGACCTAACCAAGACCTAACCCAGACCTAACCCAGACCTGACCCAGACCTAACCCAGACCTGCCCCAAACCTAACCCAGACCTAACCCAGACCTAACCAAGACCAAGATGCCTAAATTTTTCGACGGAAAAAAAAATTTCAAATCGTTAAGAAAAAATTATTTTCGGTTGCGGGGGTCAGTTACAATTATTTTTGGTGAATACACATACCCCTGAATTCCTACCCACTTTCCAGAAAAAAATTCGAGAAAGTGTGAAATTTTTAGACGAAATTAAAAAATTTCAAATCATACTAAAAAAATTATATTTAGTTATAGGAGTCAATTACAAGCATTTTTGATGAATAAACATACCCTTGAATTCCTACCCACTTTCCAGAAAAAAATTCGAGAAAGTGTGAAATTTTTAGACGAAATTAAAAAATTTCAAATCATACTAAAAAAATTATATTTAGTTAGAGGGGTCAATTACAAGCATTTTTGGTGAATAGGCATGTACTCGAAATCCTAGGCATTTTCGAGAAAAAAAATTCCTTTTTAGTGATTGAATATAATAATTATTAAAGAATGAACATAATGGTTATAAATATTTTATGATGCGAGCGGTTTCCGCAATCTAGTTACTTAGTATCTAGTAGTTAGTATCTAGTTACTTAGTATCTAGTAAGTAACTATTCGTAATATACGGCCGAGGGGCCAGAGTGGGGGGACGTACGCTACGCGGACGTTACAGTACTATTTCTCATAAGGGACAAAAAACGTTGATGTTCGTTTCTCGCGCGTGAGTTGACAATCGCGATACTGTGTTTCTATTCGCTGTACCGCGAACCGCGCGTTATTCGATATTCCGTCTTCTGTTTCATTGCGCGCGCAGCATCGTGGCGTGCCGCCATTTTGAGTTTATTTGCCGCGCGCGCAGCATCGTGGCGTGTCGCCATTCCGAGTCTGTCCACCGCGTGTGGAACATCGTGGCGTAACACCTCACCGAACAAAGACCAGGTTGTGCGTACTAATTACTGTATACGTTTCAAATAATTAAAATTGTTAACCAACTGTCGTGTAATACCGCTTCTCATTGAGATAACCTAGCACCCCTAGCATTCTTGACGCTCTCCTCCTTTGGCCGCAGCTTTATCGTGTGGACACAAGAGCCGGATCAACAAATTGTCGACATGAGGCTACAGGCGATCCAGCCCCACGTTGGACGCCACAGATCCACGCCGGAAGTGCTACCTGAAGCTCTTTTGTACGGCCGCCACACTGCCCCCCTCCGAAGCGGAATGAACCAAGTAAGCCCGGAGAAATTTTCCTTTATCAATGCCGATAGAATCCTGACGTAAACAGTTGTATATTCTTCCAAAGAAAGGTGTTTCGAAAAAGTAATGTCTTTGTCGCTAAATAGTCCATTGGAATTCACAAATTCAACACGTCAACGAAGAACACCAAGCTTTTTTTATTAACACGTGTATTCATTAAATTTATCGTTTTAAAATCGGTGAGCTCAAATTTACAATTCCACATATAATGGTAAACATTTGTTCGCCCTTCTTGACTAAGCCCGAAGGCATTCCGTAACTTAAAACTTTAAATGTTTCGAGCCTCCGATTAGATTGCTCTATGTGCACTCAAGCTTTGGCAATCTCGGCGCCAAAAAGTGCTTCTTCCTTCGACAATTGTGTTTTTTCTCTCGAGAAAGGAGAACGAATCAATTTTATGTCATTGTCTTTACACAGTTTATCAATTGTAAGTCTTCTATCGACCGTGATAGTGTCATTTTTTAAATAATTAATGATGTTTGTTCAAAAATTACATTATCGGAAGTTCTACCACCATATATATTACTTATAAAACGTATAAGAACGCCAGGAGTCACTCCGGTCATGTACTTAATACTGTATGTACGTTTATACTGTGATTATGTTGCTATTTGGCAACGTAAATTGAATACTTTAGGTATTAATTTGTCCGCAAGAGTGACGGAGTATTGAGCTGTATAGGAATGCCTTCTCTTTATATTAGCGCGATACTCGCATCCCGTCTGGTCTGCATTTATAATAAAATCCTGCAATTATAACATTTTTAGTCTGGCGTTGGAAACGTTTTGCCGACTCCTTCTACATCATTGAATATATTCAGCCGATGCAATTTTTAAAATTGATGATAAATCGGTTGATCTTGACTTTACTGAATTTCTGTTATTTTTCATTAAAGAAAATAGT